ATCACTGAGCCGGACAGAATTTTATTTTTATTTTTTTACAGAATGTGTTTTGATCAAACGATTTATTTTTGATAAATATTTAATGGAGGCACGTACAATATAGCAATTCAGATAAAATATCACGATTTAGGCTTAGAGTTGGTCGAGTTTCCCCAATTCACACATAACTATTTGAAGGACTGCCAGAACGTTACAAATCTGACGATTCTTTCTGTGTCTCTTGCTCTGAAGATTGGTGTCAGTTGGCAATTTTCTTGAAGACAACATGCCTTTCAAACCCGCCGACCAGTTTTGGGGTTCTGGGGGTTAAACCTTCCTGTCACGTTGGCCAATACTTGCACATTTCTGCTTTACAAATTTTTTTTGCAGAAGCTACTCCTGAGGCTGAGCCCAAACCAACAAAACATAAATCTACTGTGTGGGCTTTATGTGCCTGACATATAGAGAGCTCTGCTGCTGTCCAAAGACTATCATCAGGTACCTCGACTGTTGCACTGGCTGACACGCTCCTTCATCGCCATGACTCACACATCCTGCAGTTTATTTGGATTCTGACCCACCTGAGTCTGGAAACACTCACTACGGCACCAAATCTGGATCAATCCACTGCTGTAAATAGTCCAATGCATCATTTCCTCCTGTTTGAGTACGTCTGATGAATCTACAGTGAGCAGCTGTTTGAGGAATTTACGGATTTCAAGATTAGGAATAAATGTTCTCTGTGCTACGGGCAGGACTAAGATTAATAAAATATAGGATACTGCTGCCCTTATCCTTTAACAGGATACTTCAGCATGTTGGGAAACACACTTACTGGCTTCCTCATATCTGCCCGTTGAGCTGCTTCTGCCACTGAGGCTTCCAGAGAAATCTATCAGGAAGTAATTTGCTTGAGCTGATTTGATTAACTGTCTGTAGATGAATGGTTGATGGTTACACAGAGACAGGCAGGCTCAGTGCTGCACATTAGGGTTTCTGTTAGACGCACAGCGAATACAAATAACGACAAAGAAAAAAAGACATTGTTTTCTCAGGAAAAAAAAAAGAAGTGTGAAATGCATTTACTGGGCAGCACCCAAACAAAGAACTTGAACATGTCTGTTCAGATTCACCAACAGGTTTGAAAGGTATGTTATCTTGTTTTGTTAAACTGCCACAATGACACCATTTATCAGAGCCAGAAACTGTGAAACCGAAGAGAATTGTTTGATTTTCAACTTTCATTATTCTTTGGTCTAATCATCTGTGACGAGCCGTTCTGTCAGAAAATGAACCAAATTCTGCCCTAAGATTGTGATATTTCCTCAAGATCATTTCATTCGTTTTTTTTTTTTTGTTTTAATTTAAAAATTCACCAAAGACAAACTGTTTGCACCAAATTCTGTCAAAAATAGAAAATTCTTCAGTCCTCTGCGCAAACATGAAGCCATTAGTGGCTCAACGGCAAACAACAGTCCCGTGATAATATTCAGGGACTTTTAAACTGAACTGGGCTGAACTGCAGGCAGTGTTTACGGAGAGCAGACACGAGACAAATACAGTCATGACTCAATATTCCAATCCATCCATTATCTATACACCGCTTAATCCTCATGAGGGTCATGGGGGGCTGGAGTCTATCCCAGCTGACTCAGGGTGAAGGCAGGTTCACCTGGACAGGTCACCAGTCTATCACAGGGCTACACTTAGAGACAGACAACCAAGCACACTCACATTCACACCTACGGACAATTTAGAATCACCCACAACAGTATGTTTAAAACAGTTCAAAACATTAAAAATGTAATCCTAACAGAACCAAACCACGTGTGCTGGTTTTGACAGGTGTGGTTCAGCTGTAGATGTTCTAACTCTGGACCGACCTGTTGAGCAGGTGATGGGTGATGGGTTTGTTAATAGCGACTCCCCCTTCGTCCTTCAGGATCTCCTCCAGAGCTCGGAGGCAGTTCACCATCACCACGGGGTCCGGGTCCCTCAGCAGGCTGTACAGCTCGTTCACCACCGCGGCATCTGGAAGAATCGTGAACGGGAGGTTTGTGTGATTGTACATGCAATCTACATACAAAATGGATTCCAGCACATTAACAGTAAGTGAACTTTTGGTAGAGGTGGATGTAAAAATGATTTGATTCTTCAGTTGGGGCTCCCATTATACAACATAACGGCTAGAAAAGCAGTTCTTTATTTAAAAATGTGTACAATCCAGCCCCCTAACTGCTGCTGCTTCAGAATGAGCAGGAGTTTATTTACTTTCTAGAGCTACTCCTGTCGACTTCAACATGTCTCAGTCATGAGCAAAGCTGACCAAAGGTTCTGCTGCTGGCTGTAAGAGTGAACAAAAAAGCCTTCATGCACTCCCAGCATCTGAGGAAATGAAGACCCAGTGGATTACTGCTATTGTTGATGTTGCTAACGCTAGCATTAGCATATGCCACAGGTCAGAGCTCTACAGAAACTGTAAAACTGAGGGACATTCAGAGATGGCGGAAGCGTTATTTTGAAACCAATAAACAAGGACTGGGCGTGTTACTGCGGTTTCAGGTCACCTGAGGCCTGCACTACGAGGCGAGATCAACATACCCAGGATATTTTTCAGAGATCCGGCTTGACCAGCCCTAACAATCGCACTCAGGATAACCGGTCCTACGACGGTGGTTATCAGTTGATCATTGGTTATCAATTGAATTTCCCTTCTGGGATAAATAAAGTATTTTTCATTTCATTTCATCAGCTTGGTAAATCAACCCAGGGCTGTCTGATCTGAGTGTGTGCACATGAAACGGGCGGAGTTATCGTCCTCTGACCAATCACGACTATGGACAAGTCTGGCTGCAGAGCGGCTCACTTTACCGCCGAGGAGCAGAACATAACCTTTACAAGCGTGATTAGGTTCATTTTGTCAACTCTGATTATAGGTATACGGTCTCTTTTTTTTTTTTTTTAATCAGACAATAGTATTTTAAGTAGGAGCTGTTTTTACCTTGACATGTTTCGACTGTTGCTTCAGTCTTCCTAAGAAAGGCAGGAGGCGTGGCCTGTCGGGCAAATCTGACAAACTGCCAGGTGGCTCACACCTGCAGGAAACCACCAGCTGATAAAGACATGTCACCACAGACGTCAGTGCCATTTCTGAGGAAGACTGAAGTGCCAGTCAAAACATGTCAAGGTAAAAACAGCTCCTACTTAAAAATATTCATTGTCTGATTAAAAAAAAAAAAAAAAGAAACCGTATACCTATAATTTTTACAAAATATGAAGAATATTAAAACATCATAGGAGCAAAAAGCAGCACCGTTGCAGCGGCCAAAGCCAAGAAGGAATGCTGGCAGAAAACTGTGTGAATGCATCAGTTCATTAGTTTATAATAATATAATAAAATATGATCACTGTTCCATCATGAAGGCACGTATCAGACTATAAGCACATCTGAGGATTCCTTTTAACTCATTTGCTGCCTAACATACTTGTGGCATATATGACATTTTTTTTACTTTACTAAAGGACGTGGGAACAAATTAGAGCAAACAGAAACATAATTCAAAGCAGTGTAGATTATTAACATATCCTACAAATACAAGCTTTAATGCTGAAATCAGTTTACTATTGTGGGCTGATGTTGGTATGGAAATAAAATATGAAATAGCTTTGACATTGTCTGTAGCCAACAGGGGAAAAATGAATGAAGGAAGACAGGAGCTCGTAGAGATCCTCGTTAAGGTGTGCTAAGCCTTCACACTCCTCAGGGATCCCTCACAATCCGCACTCCGATGTGTAGCGGGTCTTCTATAAATGTTGATGCCATTTTGTTGGGAACTGCTTCGTTTTCTACTCCTGAAGTTTTATGGGAGAGAACCGATTTTCAGTGGGCGGTGTTTTTATACCAGGGATCTCAATCTCGCCAGTTACCTCAGTAAGCTACCTCCCTAAACCCTAAATCCTGCTTCGTAGTACAGGCCCCTGTTGTGCTTCAGTTCAGCCTAAACTCAGTGTTTATATGTTTGTGTCTCTGCTGCTCTCTGTGCTCACACATCCTGCATTTTATTACAGTCAAATTCTCAATTAGGTTGTTTCTGTTTACCTTTTTGTTGTTGTTGTTTCAGCTATATAATGACTCCATTTACCAGCAGTCACTTTAGAGACATTTCTAGGCTGCACGTTGACAATTTGTCGATCTTTCAATATAAAATGATCGATCAGAGAGAAAGCTGATATCAATATAAAGCCCTGGTTTTTACACACATGCTGTCGATCACAGACACAGAGGGTCTTCTTCTTAGGGGGGCAAGAACAGCAGCAGCTTAGCTACACTTAAAGCCACAGACACTGAAACAGACTGTTTAGAACAGAACTAAAACCAGGATTATACAGTCATGGTGAAAGGAACCATTATTGTGGTGTTTTGAGAAGAAAATTGAAAGGAAATATTCTAGGGATATGTGAGATTTTTGCTGAAAAAGGGCCCAATACAGAGATGTTTAAGTGCAACAACACCTCAATCTCCACAAACGCCTTCAATCATTCTGGCTTGTTTCTTTTTTTGTGTGTGTGTTTTTTTAATTCCTGTTTACTGCCTCTTTTCCTTGTGCACCTTACAAGCAGGTGAAGTTGTGTTAGAAACCCTGAAACTGGATGACAAGGACAGACAGAAAGAATGACGATGGGACGCTACCTATTTCAGAGCTGGGTTGGAGATGGTGTAGTTTCGCCCAGCCGAGGACTGCCACTCGTCGCACACAAGCTGCTCTGTCTCTTAATCCTGCTGTTAAAGGCTGCTCAACATACTCAACCAAGCTGGGCAACCTGGAACACACAGACACACGGTCAAAAACCAGTCACGGGCTGATTTGACTGCTCACGCTGTGCTCCAGGTGTGCAGTCAAAAACCAGTCACGGGCTGATTTGAATGCTCACGCTACGCTCCAGGTGTGCGGCAGCTCACCTGAGGTTGGTCATGTTCCTCAGAGCCAGGCTGCGGACCATCGGGTTCGGATCCTGGCAGTCTTTCCTCAGCGTGTTGATGACCAGCAGGGACAGCTCAGGGTTTAAAGTGGCGTAGGAGCACAGGAACACATACACCAGCTTCTTCTGGACCACATCCACTGTGGCGCAGGCTTTTACCATCTCACTGAACAGGCCCGACATGTCCACACCTTGTGACATGGCCCTGAGACGACGAGAGAGAAAAAGTAAAAAGTGGGGGAAAGAGTGAAGAGAGAGGCAGTTTGAGGTGAACAAAACATAGGAAGTGGCCTGTCTCAGTATTCAGCTTTCAGACGATGAAGACCAGACTTTGTTCAACTGTGTGGGTCTCTTTTGATATTCAGATTAAAGGGACAATGGTATGAAAAGGGAGAGCCCTGGCCTGGTGCAGAAGGAACACAGAGGAGGCTTTCCAAGGAAGGGACAGTTAGACTTTGAATAACTGTACCAAAAGCTACATAACTGAGAAATAAACTGGTACAAAGCCTAGTCCTCTAAGGGAAAAGCAATGACTTGATATTGACACTGGAAACATATTTGATGGAAAAGTGAAGGATTCTCTCCAGAGCTAAAGAAAATAGTTGAAATCAGAAGGTGACATCTTGATTTCACAAAACTGTCATGACCCTGACACTTGCTTACAAAACCACAACGAGAACAGCTCACTCCTACCTGAACTCTCTCATTCAGATCTACACTTCCTCCTGCTCACTACGCTCGACCAACAAAAGCCTCCTGATACAACCATCACAACAGGGCCGAGGTCGATAGCTAGACTATATGTGAAGATTCTCAGTCATCCAGGTCATGGTTATTCTCGTGGATTAATCGTAGCAATGTGGTTTCATCTTCCTGGGGAGAGATCTTAGGACTGAATTGTATCTCCCCAGGAAGATGAAAACACAGCCACAAAAGACCCTAACAAACCCCCTTGTGGCAGGGGGAGCACTAATGATCCACATAACGAGAGAGAGGAGCAATAAACCCCCAGTCGAAACCGAAACTCAGGTGTTAATGACTCCTTTAGGACATAAGTATCTGGAACTCCCAACTAGTCAGTCAGATGTGATGAAGCCTCTTGGATGAGAGGTGGAACGTCTTCAAGGAACTCAAGCAAATCCAGTTGCTATGAATAATCTACCAGAATAGCTGGACTCTTCTCCTCTGTGGTTCCCCGGTGGTGGAACGAGTTCGATCTGCTGACTCCATCTCAGTCTTTAAGAAAAAACTAAAGACCAGCTCTTCACTGAACACCTTTGCACTTGACAGACTGAAAACAAACAATCAAAAAAATTTAAAAAAAAATAAAAAAAATCCTATGACCTCCCACACAGCCTGCTGTTGGCATCAACGCCCTATCACACTTGAACTTCCTCTCTGGCACTTATCCAGATTGTGTTCTCCTGACTAGATCCTTGCTTGTGTTGTATCTGCTCTGATGTACGTCGCTTTGGATAAAAGCGTCTGCTGAATGGAATTGTAGAATTGTTGTCGACCCCCCGGTCTGTATCCGCGCCTGGCTTCCCAGAACCCGCCCCCCATAGCAAAAAACAAGATATCTTCAAACAGGAAGCAGTTTAACTGGAAAAATGTTTGGCATTTCAACACTGACATCTTTGGCAAAACAAGGAAAAGTTGAAGCAGGAAATGTTTCCTTTAGAGCTCTTAGAAATTACTTTCTTCTAAAACTGCAGGTTAGCTGTAAGCCAACACAACAAGTGTTTTGTAATTTGATATAGTTTAGAACTGCAGTGAGGACACTCCTGTGGAATATCAAGTAAATGTCAAACGATTGAAAACTGTATCACCTGACAGGAACTGCACTACGGTGCTAACCACTGCACCACCTTGCAACCCTGATATATTTTGTTTTTTTTTAATTAATCCACCAATTCTTTTCCACGTGAAGCCATGATGCAGACATACAGATAGATACAGCCCATGGGGGTATTCACACTGAGCTCCACACAGCTGAATGTTCAGTACAGTCTTTTTGTTTTGGATTGTTTATAAGAGCAAATACTCTGTTCAAACTATGCAGGTATTGAGAGGTGATGCAGGTTTGCATGATTGGGACATTTAGGTAACATTGCAGATTGTTTTGTGCTTTATCTGTGATCATAGAGGACTTTTTTGTTTTAGGCCATATGACCTCAAATTAACTTGGCGAGGTGTGCAGTGGGCTGTTGGAGGAGCCCCAGCAGCCTGATAGATGGATGCGGATGAGGCGCAGTGGCTGATGGGAGTGCGGAGGGAGGCCGGCTGGCTACCTGATGACTTTGAGGATGGTGTTCCTGTAGCGCAGCTGGTCGGACTGAACGTTGGGGTTGGACAGAGCTCTCCTCAGCTCCCTCACCGTCTCCTCACCACCCAGATAAGGCATGTTGGCGGCACACACGGGATCACTGGCGGGCAGAAGAACCGAACACAACGCTGGTTTTCGGTCTCAAAATTAACCGTTAGCTTGTTTTTAAATACAGGTGACAGGAGCCGGCAAACCAAACCGAAAGCGTCACTTACTGCATCACATCACCGACACATGAATTCGTTTAAACATTACCTTCAAACACAGGCTTTCCCTTGTAATAACACACCATAGATGACTGGGTTGTTTACACTGAGCTCACTTCCGCATTTCCTCTTCTGCGCTCAGCTTGCGCAGTTTGATCCTGCGCCACCCTCTGCTGGCCGGAGGGGGAATTACACCCTGCAGACAGTTTCTCTAATCACCTCAACAAAAAAGTTTTATTTGGGACCTGAAAGCAGCGCAGATGTGCCCCTTTGGAAAGCAGAAAATATGGTTCGTTTTTTCCAGAAACCCGTTAAAGCAAAAGGCCTCAGCAGTGGTGGACAACAGGGAATATAGAAACTTATTCAGATCCAATTTAAGTGACCTGCACTTTCAGTCTTGCTATTTTATGTTACTTCATAAACATATATTCAGCAGGAAATATTGCACTTTTGGAGACCATTACATGGATCACGTAGAGGCTAAAATGTGTCACTTTGTCTCTTTAAGAATATATCATAACATAGCAGTTGAGTGTGGTGGAAACTCTGACTCAAGCTGGAAAAAGATCTGAGTTATTTGTCTCTGCAGAGAAAAGTCACTGAATTTCTTACTACGCACATGCGTTTTTATAACATTGGCAAATTCATGAATTCTTATTACTTCCCATATTTAGGGTCAGATAACGTGGCAGCAGGTTAAATAGGTCTGATGGATGGATTATATATCCTCTGGAACATCTGGAATGGTTTGCTTTGCCTGGTCACTACAGGATCTAACAGTAAGAGGTATCAGCAGATACTAAATATTAAATCGTTCTTAGCCTGCTGCTACCGCAACCTGACATTGTCCAGTTCCTCCTGGTGGATCCTAAGATGTTCCCAGGCGAGTTGAGATATGTGATCCCTACAGCAAATCCAGATGCGAGGAGACCGCAGGATAGACTGTAAACTTGTTAGAGGTAACACAGTATATCTCATCTGGCCTGGGAACACCTTGAGATCCACCAGTGAGGAACTGGACAATGTCAGGTTGAGGTAGATATTGAGTACCTGCTCATACCTGATACAATTTTACAAGATAATACATCCATCCATCCATCATCTATACACCGCTTAATCCTCACTAGGGTCATGGGGGGCTGGAGTCTATCCCAGCTGACTCAGGGTGAAGGCAGGTTCACCTGGACAGGTCACCAGTCTATCACAGGGCTACACTTAAAGACAGACAACCAAGCACACTCACATTCACACCTACGGACAATTTAGAATCACCAATTAACCTCAACATGTTTTTGGACTGTGGGAAGAAGCCGGAGAACCCGGAGAGAACCCACGCTGCACGAGGAGAACATGGAGACTCCACGCAGAAAGATCCCGGATGTCCTCACCGGGATGTGAACCAGTGACTTTCTAGCTGCGAGGCAACGATGCAGCCCCAAGATAATACAGAGTTCAAATATTGCAGATTAGCTGTAGAACCGGGTTGTGCGACCAGGTGGAGCCTCTTAATACTGTAGTGACCAGAGGAGGCAGTTCTGTGTTGACAAGCAGAAAGCACTGTTGAAGTTCAGCTAGTGAAGGGGCACCATGTCAAAGTCTTCTGTGACATTTAATGACCACCGCCCAGTGAACTTTGATTATTTCACACTGGGCTCACCAGGGACATAGTTCCTGCATCTTAATTGTCATAGAAAAAACTATTACTTATGCAATGTGCCTATTGCTTAAAGTAGCAAAACTAGCAAAAGGCAGATGTTTAGTGTCTTGCAGTGATGCGAAAATGTGTTTAAAATCAAAAATGTCGGACATTTATTATCCTGTTACTCTGGTTATCAAGCAGCAAACATTTATGTAGATTTTAAAGTCCATGTTGAAGATAAAAGCTATTTTACTACAACATTAATTCTTCCATTTAGTTCCAGCTGCAAGAGTCCATTTTCATCAATGACATACTGATATATCTTATGGAAGCACTTGCTCTAATGTCATTTGTTGCACATGTGCTTTTCCTGCAGTGAGAAACGTTCGCCCAGATGACAACAGAAGTGGTCAGATTCCCACTGTACTAACGTAACACCCACACACTATTTAAGTCTGAGTTCATGAAGGTTTTATTGATTGTGAAAAGCAATAAATCTACAAACACATACAGCTTTAGGCCCCCGACGCTCCAAGTCCGACCCCCTGATCCAAAAGGCGTGCATCCGCCCTGCCTCGCCCCTGGTTGGGGTTTAAAAGGCAGAGCTTCATTAAAACAGGAAGAGTGGGCGGGACTTGGTGCTGGACGGCCAATCAGCTGACACAGGTGACATTCTGAGCTCCGCCCAGCTGGAACCAAAAGAAGCTGCTCAAGCCTTCCTCCGGGCTGGTGGGCGGAGCCAGGTGCCAGGGCCCATGAACCAGTTCTTTTCCACGCTATACATTCACCAACTAAAACACATGTAACATCCATCCATCCAAAATGAAAGTAAAAAAAAAGCAAATCACCCAAAATCAAATGATAAAATACTCAAACATACTCATTTGCTGAATTTGGAGAGAATGATTTAGAAAGTTTGTTCTTTAACATTAATCGCCAATTTTTTTTTTTCCTGAACTTACATTCTGATGAAACACATGAAGCCAGTCGTCTGTATGGATTATAAGGAATGCAGATCTAAACAAAATGGGAACGGGTGAGACGTGCTAACCTGAATTTAAAGTGTGAAAGTTGATGGCTACGTCTTGTTTCATTAGCTTCTTCCAATCACGGATACGCTGCCCACTCCCTCTAATGCTGGACCAGACGACTGGGATTTTTGGTCCGTGTGCTCTCAGCATTTTTACGGAAAAGTGGGATCACATGGACAGCGAATCAAACGCACACAACACACTCGCGCAAACACACATTCATACACACAGTGTCAGAGGGGCGGCAGTGTCTATGACAAGTTGGGGTTTGGATCAGGGCTGGTGGAGCTGTTGTCCTGATTTGCCGCCTGGCTTCCTCGCGGTGGGACCTCGATGATGCGGGGCTTGTCGATGATGCGAGCGCGCCGGTCGCCTTTCTCTACGATGCCAATTATCCACGCTCCGCCCGAAGCCCCCTGGCCTCCTGCTCCAGAGCTCTGGCTCTTCATCTCCGAGCAAAACTTCGCCGCCTGCTCTCTGGGCAGACACACCAGCAGGCCGCCTGGAGGGAAGACAGACGGGGAAGGATGGGAGGTCAAGCTTTACTGCATGTTTGCATACTGTGTCCATTCAAAGATATACAGACAGCTGTTGTGTGTTCATGTAAGTGATAAAACCATGATGACATACATGACGAGACTTCATCAGCAGCCATAAGAAAACTGTTTGCTGCACATCAAACTCTAAGTGTGCCTCATCAACAGCCTAGCATATGTATTTATAACCAAGTGTGCTACTTTTTATTGCTTTCTCCAAAGTTCTCTGGTATCTAGATGTTGAAAATGATCAATTAATATAATCATCTGCATTTCATCTTGACAAATATATCCCTACAACTCTATTTATGTTCCTACCAGATGTCTCTGCCGACGTGCCCTGGACCAGGTTGAACACGTTTCCACATGCTTTGCTGATGGCAGTCATCTTGGCTATGATTGGTAGGTTGTGGATAACAAAGGCCACCTCGTTTCGCTGCTGTGCTGCCAGGTTGTTGGCGTGTCCCAACAACCCGAAACCTGTAACGTCTGTGGCAGCGTGGGCCTGGAACTTGTGCATGAGGCCGGCCGCTGAAACGACAATGTGAATGGGTGAGAACGGACCAACCGTAGCGTCCACAAGAAGCTGCAGAACGCTTCGACTGGACCAAAAGCAGGAAAAAAGTAAATCAAGGACAATTCATGGTTGGTTGATTTGGTGGTGAGGCTGAGAACAACATCAGTAGAACCACGTAGAGGCAGCTAATAGAGAAGCTCAGCTGTAACTCAAACGCTGAATACATTTCATTGACTGTAGAGTGTTGAATGAAGGGAGTGTACCTACCTGTGCGGTTTAGCGTTGCCATAGAGAACATGGCTTCCTGATAGGCCTCTTTAACTTCCTCTTTGGTGACAACTAGCTTGATCTTGTTCCACCTTTCAGGCTGGTGAGACACACATATAAAAACAGTGACAAAACTATTTAACATCAAGGTATGTTGAAGTGTGAAGGCCTCGTTTATAAAGTAGCCGACTAACAGAATAAAACACAAATAAAGTTGGATAACAATAAAATAGTAGACGGATATTAAAAGTAAGTAAAATAAAAACATGAGTGCATTTAAGATTGAAAAAAAATGAACTAAAACAAACACAGCTTGAAGGTAAACGGGGTGAAATTAAAAACCTGAACTGCCAGACGGTGAAACATGAGTTAAGCTTTACTTTTGCGAGTTATTTTATGTTGCAGTGACTTTCCAAGTTCAGCAAAAACAGCAAATACGTGCAAATGCAAAATGTTTTACCTGCAAAAATATGTTACTGTATGTAGTATGTTTTTGGTATTTCAAAATATTTTAACAATTATTTATTTGATTTTTTTTAAAAATGTATATTTCTCAATGCAGACTGACAGATTTCTTGCACACATCCTGCTGTAGCTTACTCACAGAATTAACCTTTACCAAAGTTATTCACCCAGTAATGACTAGTCACAGTCACATGGTCGTGGTTGTTGCAGCCTGGCCGTTGCACAAAGACTGTGCTAAGTTTTTCAGCTGGAGCAGTTCTGAATGTGGACAAACTAAAACCTTTTAGAGCCTCCATCAGCTTCTGGAAGTCGTGGCTTCTCTTTCCTTTTCTGCAACACTTGGTGGCCGCAGCAGCTGCAAGTCCAACATTTTCCAGGACAGTTTGAGAGACGTTCGGGTTTCCTAATTCAGACGTCTGACCTGGACGTCTGCTACAGTGACGCTGTGGGATCTTCTGGTGTGGTTTTGTGGTTGGGTTTACGCATCGGAACAGTGACCTCTAATCATCATCCAGCACACTATTATTAAGATCTATGTTATTAACTTACAATTCTTAGAAAAAATCATTCAAAAATGCCTTCGCTTATCATCCTTTAATTACCCGATGATTGCCTAATTGAAAAAAATGAATGAATTACAGCATAGTCCTGCTTATGACGTGAGCTATGTGTTTGAGGGTGAACAGTGGAGGAGCATATCAACATAATGACAATGCAAATAATGTCCATGTGGCCAGAGCTGAGTGTCTGACCTGATCAAGCCACTGGTGAGCATTTACAGCCACCTGAGTCCCCAGAGGTTTAGTCAGAACCAGCACGTCGCCTGGTACAGCTCCGTCGGGCCTGGAAATGTAAAGACAATTTCAGTAGGATGCACCTTTTAGTGAAAACTGTAGTCTTAAAACTCTTATCTATGAGATGGACCAAATTACACATGAACATATGCTTTCAGGAGGAACAAGAGAAGAGTCCTCTAGCCATGGTTGTGCTGTTTCCATAGCAGGTGTAGGACTTTATGTTGCAATGAAAAAATGAGGAAAGAACTCCCAGAAATGGCTTCAGAGGGTTAAACAGGAGCAGGCTGTAACTCCTTCTACGCATCCCCATGCTGGCTGACATTAACAAGGTCAAGTACATTTTGTTAGGGGCTCGTGAAATGCATTGTGGGAAACAAAAACAACAACAAAAAAAAGCTCTATGTAAAGGTCATGCATAAAGACGAGTGGGTGCACAAAAAAAAGATGTTTCTAAATATTATAGAAGGAAAACAACGCAGAGAAGCAGCATCAGTTTGAACCGACTCACATGATGAACTCATTGGGCTGACAGACGACTGACGCTACACCTCCTACGATGATCCAGGGGTTGATCACCGTCTGGCCGCCGGTCACAGAAGTCCCTCCTTCCTCTGCCGCATCACGAAACCCTCGGATCATCAGGGGCATCACCTTCTCACGGTCCTGAGTCACACGTGCACATACGGATGATTAAGGATCACACAACCTTGACACAGTGGTGGTATTTCACAACCAAAAAAGGCAAGAAAACGGGTAAAGGAGGGACAGAAATTGAGACATTAACCCACTACTGTCAATGTCAGGTCTTGTTCAGTGACTATATCCAGCCCCAAATGCAGTTACTGTTTAGTTTCTGTTACATTTCTGGCATCCACTCACAACAAAGCACTCTCAGAACTAACCTTGTCGTTCATCTTCTGACTGACGCTCAGCAGCATCAGCATGTTGTCACACTCGGTGATGCCCATGGCGTAGAGATCACTGAGGACGTTAGCACACGCTATCCTGCCCTGAGAAGAACAACAGAACCAGAACCAGGCATGTGACTTCAACAGTTATAGCAATGCTGTCTTGAAATGAACACAGTATTTTTTTTTATTTCACAAGCAAACATAAAAAGATAATAACTGTTTGTATTTAACAGTCCACTCACTTAGCCAGCAGTGAGAGGGCAGGATAATAAAAAGTTTAAATCAGATGACTTGTTATTCCTCAGTGTAAAATTCGCAATGTCTTGTAAAGCTGGAAAGTTTTCTAATGGTACAAAAAAGTAAACATCTTCATATCTTAAGAGCTTTTATTTTACACATAACCAAAAAAAACACAGTAAAAGTGGATTTTTTTTTGTTGTGCATGCACCAACAAACAGTCTGACTTTTCCACTAACATACACAAGGTGAAGAAGTAAGAAACATATGAAACAGAAACAAGATTACAAGATGAAGATTCACAAGCTCTCATTGTGGGTCGATGAGTACATCACTACAAATATTTGTACTTTTTTTTTTTTTTTTTATAGCCTCACTTCCTGGATAGTTCTCCAACACTTAACAGCAGGATAAACACATATCTGACTCACCATCATGTAAGGATCCTCCACCAGAGGGTAAAAGAAATCTGTGGTCTGGACAAGTGACAGCCCTCCATGCCTCAGAGGAATCACACAGCAGTCCATCCCAACACCTGGAAACACACCACAGTGGTGTCAGTGAGTGCAGCTTTTATGTTCATAGTTCATGCAATAAGCACACAATGGGACTTTGTCATAACATTTGTTGATCTGTTGTTAGAAATGAGCAGTCATATCTTTTGGCAGCTTAAGCTTGTCTGTACGTACCAAGACATCGTGACTTTATGTGATGTAATTGCAAAAGATTGTCGGTCAGAATGAAAAGAGAAGCAAAATCCAAACATTTGTAGAAGAACATCCTGGTATTTTTGGCATAATACATTTGACATACTATGAATTGGAACAGTGGTACCAACGATAAAACACCATCCAGGACTGATGTCATCCACCACCTGTTCACTCTGCTGCCCCCTGGGTGCTGCTAAACATCTATTAGGATCTGCACCTCCAGACTCGTGAACAGTTTTTACCCATGTGCCATTAATGAACTGAACTCTCACTAGAAATGATGTAATATCACACAAAATTGCAATAATGTCATCAGCTTATTTATGCTGCTACCAGTTTATTTATTCCATGTGAGTAGTTGGGTTATTTGGTCATTTTATCGTGCACTTTTATTCTTTTGTACTACAGAGAAGAGTTGCTCTAAAACTTCGCTGTACACCTGCGCAAAAGCAATAAGGGCATTTTTATTCTATGATGTGAACCCCGTAAAGCAAAAATAAATCCGTCAGTCTCTAGTTGTGGTCACACTGCCATCAATAATAAAAGTAATCCACCTGTATTCAGTCAATCCGATGCTGGGAGTGCACGAAGACTCTGTGTTCACTCTTGCAGCAGAACATTTTATGAGTTTTAGACATTTTAGAGGTGGCAGAAGCAGCTGTAGACAGTAAATAAATGTGGTGGAGTGAGATGCAGCAGCTAATTCTGAATGAGTCACCTGGAAGCAGGATTAGACAAAGTTTAAACTAGATGATTTTTGGTTGTTTAGCTCCTATTTACATGTGAAATACAATTCTGACTGGTTCACAGCTTTTATTGTACACAATAAAATGGATTATATGAGACCTCAAAGTGTTAGTATTGCTGCTGGTTTTGTAGTAGTAGTAGTAGTGAGTACTACATGGCTGTTCAATGGGACTGCTGTACTAACCATGTGTGGTCTGTGGTCACTTTGTGTAACTACGTACGCAGCTTTCCTCATACGCAGGGTTGCTAAACGGGAACAAAGTGCTTTTATTGGGGGGTTGCGAGACTCCTTCATTAAAAAAAAATGTTTGACTAAGAGCCTGAACTTTGCACCCGCGTAAGACATTTCTGCTGAATCACACCTGACGTTTGGTAATTTGACAGCTCGCGGAACTTGTGTCGGGTTTCTTCAAACAGTTTTGGCTAGCTGTTATCCGTTTAAATCATTGGCGATGTAGCTAAGTGGTAATTTACGACAGCGAGTAGGTTATATGTGTACAAATTCCACAGCCAACTGCTATTAAAACCAAGCTGATTTTACACGCCATTAGCTTTTCATCTGTCAAACTAGCTGCCATGAGTTACCACAAGCTAGCCAGGTTAGCAACAGTTGCGCTAGCTGACAGACGTTAAACCGCCGGGGTTTGGGACTTGTCGGGAACGCGGAGGCTAGCTCTGCTAACTTCAATTCGTTCCTTACCGAGTCTCGGGCCAGGCAACTGTTGGCCGAATTCCGAAGCTTGGTCCGCGGCCTTCCCCGTCCCGTCGGCCCGGTCCGACTCCAGTCCCGCCAGGAGTTTGAGCAGAGCCTCCTGCGGGACCTTGCAGCCTCATCCCTTCAGGTCCGAGAAGGATGTGAGACGGAACCCGCGCTCCAGGCCGTGCTCCTCGGGTTTAAAAGGCTTGTATCCCGGGGGAAAGCACCCCTCAGTGCCCACAACCTCCACCGAGGGAGGCGGGGAAGTTGAGCCCGACATGCCCGCCCGGTGACCGCGTACACACAATGCCAGGCGCGGTGCTTACACCGGTAAATAAAGACACGGAGATGAATGGAGCGTGTCTGGAGAGCGCTGCGTGAAACAGGAGACCAGCGTAAAGTTAGCCAAAATAAAGCCAACACAATTTCCTGGAGGAACTTTCAATTTAAAAATATAATTTGCATTTGTGCGGGCCTAAACACGACTTACAGATTCCAATCATTACATTTTTAGCATAATCTTGATATTTGACTTGCTTTAGCGCCATGATTTAAATTATGACAAGTATCAGAGATGTGGGGCAGACGCTTTATTTTGAAGGCGATGATGATTTTCCGGATCCTCTTTGTTCGGCTGTACAACTTGACGCAGCACAGGACGGTTAGAGCGGCACCATCTTCTTCCGCTGTCAGGTGGATTTTTTTCCATGTATGATCGATCTATCTATCTGTAGCGGGATTAAAACTCAAGGAAAATAAGAACATTTTGCTATATACACTGTCACTGCATTATTTGTTTTTAATATTGCAGGACAACTTTAAAGAAAAAAAAAATCCCCCTGAATGGACGCAAATGGTTTCTCCCAGGTTGTACTACGCTCGCTGTATGAAACACACGAGGGCTAATGAATAACTGGTTTATTTCGTAAATCTCCGACAGTTTGAAGCAATATTCTTTGCAACGAATGATATGTAATTACAGACAACAGTCACACAAACTGTGAAGGAACCTCAATGTGCTTACATTCAGATAGATAAATAGCTAAGGTGGCACAGGTAAGGGGTAAGACCGAATAAAGGGCCACAAAAGGGAGGCGTGGTGGGTTCAGGGTCAAGTCTAGCATCAGAGATAAAGCAGTCAAACGTGTACACAGGCACAGAACACAGAGAATGGCTACTTTTTTTCAACAAGAGTAAATCCATCTCTAATACATAATAATAATAATACATGTTTTGAGGTAATGCAGACAGCTACATTTACAACCAAAACATATTTGAATATTATTTAAAGCTCACTAGATTATTCACATGTGTGTTCTCCTTTGTCGAGGGGAAAAGAAATCCTCTGAATTGTCTCTTCTTTTTGACATGGCGTCACCCTAGGTCCAATGATTGCTGATGTGTCGATGGATGAGATGATGCAGTCAAAGTGTACACATTGCACTCCCCAGTGTGTAGCTGCTTGAAAAACGGGACTGAGGCAGGAGATCAGGGATCATGTTTAAATACTGATTGACATGAGTGTGCCATCTCATAGGCAAGGCACAGGGAAAGAAAATTAAAAGGTGCTGGGAGGAAAAAAAAAAAAGGATGATGAGAAAACAGTGGAAAAGCTGTAGCAGAAACTGAATCCTTGGAGCATTTGTGGGGAAATTTCATGCTGGTTACTGTCATCTGATTGCCTTGAAATGACGTGTGTGTATTCCAACATATTTGATTTCTAAAACGGTAACATCCACGCTATGTGTTCAGGTTCGTGTATGTGTGTTTGCATGGCAGAGAGAGATTAAAGTGCAAACACCAGACATGTAGTTTTCCAGGCAATGCCCAAAACTGGGAGCAGACACACTAAATGTAAATATACTATATACAGTATATCTGTGGTGTCACGGTGCACTGAACTAGGCTCATGTTACTGTATACAGTCCATGACATGAATCTGCAGCGTGTCCATATCTGGAGCCAGGTACTGGCACTTAGGACAACATAAATCTGGCAGCTCCTCCGCTCCGACAGCTCCTTGATCACCAACTGGTACCAGACCCTGATTGCGGAATGAGGGGGCAGGAGGCACCGTGTTGAAGGCTGCACCAGAGAACACACCTGAGGCGAAAAGAGGAAGAAGGCATCTCAGAACAACTTCTTACCAGACAAAACTCTTGAGAAATGATTTGTGCAGTTATATTTCTTTCGAGCAAAACGCCATCTGCAATAGCGCACTACCAAAATGTGCAATTACACATTATTCTGGTGGTAGATCAGAAATAATAATGTGTACCCCATGTTAAATATGTCATCTTCTTATGAACCCTGTCAATGGATGTATCTGTTGTTAGTTTCTATTTATTTTTAATGTATTTTCATTTGTTAAAGATCTCCTCCCAAAATGTGCACTTTGTTTGTGCTCATAAAACAACAGAGAACACAGAGGCAAAGCTTTGACTCCGTCCTGTCTGTTCTGTGGGCCACTTATTCCTTACCCTGAACATTTAAAGCAGACATCTGTACATTTCTGGTCTTCAAAACTAATGAAACAGAAAGGAACTTAATGTGTAGTGTCAGGGGGAGGAGGGAAGTTGTTGTTGCACATTGTCACACAAATACAGGTGATGGATTTTGGCTTCAGATTTTTCCACATTAAAAACTAACTGCACATTTAATAAGCCTTGTGTGTGTTTAGTCAGCAGAGATGCTCACCCACGGAACTCTGCAAAACCAGAACCCAACTTTCATCTCTACTGGTGGGTTTGTTTTACCCTTGTATCGTAGCATATCTATTACACTTCTCTGAACGCACGGCGCATCATCTCGATGCACCTGAACACATCATCAGTGACGTTTTATGAGGAGTTCCGGGTCTTTTAGCATCATATACCCAGGCGACCCAGCGAAGGGTTGATCAAAAACCCCAGTTATAAACACCCAGTTGTAGGGAGGAGATTCACCTGTATCACGGCATCTCTAGTTCTCACTGACATCTGCTTTTAATACATTTCTTGGGTCTCTAGAGCTTTCAATTTCATCTACCTGCCTCCACCTGCTCACAAGGATTTTCATTACAGTTATTTTTGCTATTTTTTGTCTTCTTAGAGACAAAATGATGGATCCGTATATCAAGAAAAAAAAAATCAGCAGATTTATTGATAATGAAAATACTTAAGTTTCAGCGACATGTGACTGAACTGTCTTTGTTTTTCAGCAGTGACAGGTGCGCTATCAGTTTTCCCAGAGCAGACTATTCATTTATTAATATATTAATGCATTTGCCTTTGTTTCAGACATTAAAGATTTAAAGATAACTAGTGTAACCTCACATCGAAGGGTATGTTGTTTTAATGCGTAGGTTTTTGATCGCTTGCATTGGCTGAGATGTACCTTGAGGAGGGGGAATGTGCGGCGGCCGTGCAGGAAAGTCTTCCAGGTGTCTCCGCTGCATTTGATCGATACATGCCCTGAAACAGAGGTGAACATCGACAACTTTCATGTTTAATCGCACCTTAACAAATGTCAAAGGCAAATATCTACATGTGGTAATGTGCAGAGGACAAATGCTGATCCTGCTGACTTTGGATATAAAGTCCTGGCAACAGTCCTGCCTTTGATGACGTCTGCAGTAAAGCTAAAGTCGCCTAAAGATGCTGATCCAACATTTGATTAGCAATTGAGATTGAGGGAGAGAAATTCAGCGCACAAGGACGAAGTCACCCTGGATGAGAAATTACATTAACTTCATTTTTTAAATTTTTTTTTGTACCGTGATGTGGCTTCTTGCTTGAGCCTCTCGATCTTAGTCATGGCCTCGTTCAGCTTATCCTGCAGCTCCTCCTTCTTCTGGTTCAGCTTCTCTCTCGCTTCTCGCTCCGCCAGGAAGTCTGCCTTGTAGATCTCAGCCTGAGCAAAGGCAGCGACAGAGAGGAAGATTTGACTTTCCAGCAGCCATCTAGCTTTACCTCAGTATCTCTGTATTTTTTTAAAGCATGTGAAACTGTGGCTTATGCAGTAGATGTTCAGACGTGTGATGTACATTGTTGTATTTAAACAACACTGAGTTTTCCCTGTGGATTGTGTAGCCGGATGGAACAACAAACACCTTGGATCTGTGACAACACATCACACCATTCAGTTGTTTTCTCGTGTAACTTAACCCACAGTCCTTCTTTTGTTACCCGTTCTCCGTCTGTGTCTGGGACAAGTTCCTGGATCTAATTGTCATCAAATATTGATTTTATCAACACCTTAAAGCTGTAGCTATGGAACAACTGACGGCTGACAGGTAACGCCGTATACTTATTCTGTTACCCGACAACCCAAACGGAGAAATGTGTGAAGCAAAACAACTACATTGTGAATTTGATTGTGTTACAGCACAGAACAGGTGATGACAGAGAGGACGAGGACAAAAAAAAACAAGGCTGTCACTCTGGATGTTGGCAGAATTAGATGAGATGTGTTTAACTTTCTGTAATCACACACTGTAATCCTCCAACAAGTCTCCAGCCACTGATAACTGCAGATGCACTCAACAGGTAACTGGACCTGAGGCTTCAGGCGACAACTTTGAAGAAGCCAAACAGACTAGACATTAAATTTTGCAAATGTGTCGAAGGGAAATTTTACATCTTAACTCTTAAAAAACTGCACACGACCTTCCTTTGCTCTAAAAACAGCTTCAGTTCTTGGTCACAGTTTCCACAAACTGTTGTAAACCTTCCTCTGACATTCGGCTCCACAATGACAGGATTCATCATTACTGCAGATTTAATCGCTGCTCATTCTCTCGTTCTACCACATCCCAAATTTGTTCTTCTGGATTCAGATTGGCTGCCTCGTGAGGCCACTGTCATGTTCATGAAACTAGTCTGACACGAATCTTGCTTTGTGACACGGTGCACTATGGAATTAATCAAACCAACGAGCCAAGACAACATTCCTCCCACTGTCACAGCAGCAGACTTGAGGTTGGGTTCATGAACTCATAGCTAATGTCCAAATCTGACTCACCACCTGCAACCTCAGCAGAAATTCATATCTTGTCCAATTCTGGTCAACGTCACCCTTAAATTGCTGTTTTCTTTGAACCCAGTGTGATTCATCTGCTTTAAAGCGGAACATGTTTCGAGTTCAAGCTGCTTTCCTGCTCAGCACCGAGTGGTCGTCTGAGGTACTGCTTTTTTGCACAGTTCTGAGGAAACTCTAAAGACTGCTGTGGTGCAAAATCCAGGAGACCCACAGCTTCAGAAATACTCAAACCAGCCTGTCTGCCACAAACAGTGATGCTACACTCAGAGAGATCGCATTTGGCCTCATTTCGCCGAAGCTCCTGACCTCGATCTGCAGGATTTGATGCCGCCTGAATAAGCAGGTGTTCCCAGTTAAGTGCCACCTGAGTGGGATTACAGCGTCACATAATGAGGAATCCGAGGCATCAGAAAAATAATAACAGGGAACAGTACCACAAAAGCATAAATGTCCATATTTCCTACAGCGCCAGGTTGATTGTGTCAGATCTGTTCAGTCAGGCCGCTAAACAGATATTAGTAAAATACAGTTTTGCTGCTTTCTAACGAAAATGAGGGAGCAGAAGTAGTAATTCGGTCATTTTTATGGTGTTTTGTTGAGCTTGTTATAAATATATGTTAGCCCCTTTCTTTGCTGTTCGTTGCTGTCACTCTCCATTGCCTCCATTAAATAAAAAAGCGTAAAAATGTCCAAAACAATCGGCTAAAATTTAACAACTACATGGTGTAGTCTCACTCAATGACCTTGAAATCCTAAGAAGCAATTCTGTGTCAACTTTGTAGAAGAAAGGTTGAGCTAGTGGGCTTACATACTGGGACTTTCAGGTTTTTTTGCAGACAACAGATGGTATCAGTTAGAACGAGGAGGGTAGGTGTATTTGTCCTGAACTGTTTAGTGCACAATGTTCGGTTTGGTATGAAGGAATGTATTCCAGCAAGACAAAGAGGCTAAAAAAAAAAAAATCCCCCTTTTTATTTGAATTATTAAATATTTATGGCTTCCATTGTGCTGAAAACTAACTGAACTGCAAGAAGCAAGAAGAACAAAATCATTATTGAACAGAAGAAGTCAGGAGCCCAATATCACCCCATATCAAACGGTGATATGAAGTAAACAGTGCTGCACATGTAACTAGTTTTTTCCACAACAAGCACAATAGTACCTGAGCAGTGAGGACCGGAACAGTCTCCAGAGAGCCTTTCTGTTGTTCCACCTCCTCCTTCAGTTTATCAATCAGGTCCTGCTTCAAGGCCAGAGCTCGCTCTGCCTCCTCCAGTCGGCTGCACAGATCTCCTCCCTAGAAGACGAGCGCGAACGCACACATAGAACAATTTTAGCACACAAAACCAAATGGCAAAAAAACAATGAGAGTAAAACAAAATGTTACTGTGTATGTACCTCACTCTTCAGTTTGGAATCGTAGTCTCTGAAGAGGCATGTGTAGGCATGCTGCAGCTGTGTCAGTTTTTTCCTAAGACAAAGAAAAGTGAAGCAGAATTCTAACACAATGGGCTGGTAACATATCAGAAATGATGCAAGTGAGTAAAACAGTTAACACAATGTTAATACCAAAATAAACTATTCAACGACAGAGTTACCACTGCTTTTTACTGTATGGGAGAGAAGAGGGGAGTCTCTCTGGAGCAGATAAATCTTTCTAAACATCATTAGGTCAAACATGCAGAAATCTCAGAATGTGTTGGACCCACTTCTCCTCTGTGACCACATGTCTCTCTGTCTTCAGGGCCTGCTCCAGGCTCTGGGTCTGCAGCAGCAGCTTGTCCATGGCCACATGATGCTGCTTCCTCTGCTGCTCCTGCTCTCGCTCTGCCGCCTGCAGGGCCTTTACTTTACTGCACAGTCTGCACACAGAGCACACAGAAACACCTCAGCACACCTACAGGCCAACACGGCTAAGGCTGTATGTAAAACTCTGCGGTGATGTGACAACTTACTTTTCTTCCAACATTTTGCGCTCCAGCTCGCTCTTGTCCAAGCAGCTCTGCCTCTCTTTCAGTTCTCCCAACAGGGAGGTCGCCTGAGCTTTCAGGGCCTCGGCGTCCTTGGCCAGCTGCAAAAACACACAGAGCTTCAAGGCATCTGACTGGCTGTGAATACAAGTCTTTAAATATTCGAGTAATAATCGCGGCTGCTCAGATTTCACACCTGAGCACAGTCCTTGTCCTTCTGTTTGAGCAGAGCTTCAGTTCTGTCTCGCTGAGCTGAACTCTTCTGCAGGTAGTCGAGTTTCTCCTCCAGCTCCCGATACCTACACAAAAACGGATTTGTAACTGCCAGCTAAGCCCAGTCATTTTAAAAAAGTACAGCAACTCTTGTTTTATTTTATTTTTAATACATTGAAATTATTTAATTTATCAGACACTGCAAAACCAGAAAGAACTGTCGATTTTCCTTGAACTTCTCTGTGATGTGCCGCTCCGTCAGAAGACTTAACCAAGTCTAAGCTTATCATGAATATTCATCAATGTCACGTCATTCTTTAGGTCTCATCTAAAAGGTTTGTTCTAATCAGATTCTGTAGAAATTAATGCGTGGCTGAAGATGGTTTTGTGGAACACTTTTGTGTCTTGTTGCTGCTCATAAACGATCAACGTGATGGAAAGTTCCTTCACATCAGTTTCAGACCGGTAGCTAGAAGAATAGAACGCCTGAATGTTGTTGAGTAAGATCCCATAAAACACTAATAATATTAAGAATATTAATGTAGAACAGCTTAATAAATAAAGGCATAAAAGAGAAACTCTGGAGTGAGACGAGCAACAAAAAAAACCCTGCATTATTTGATTCTTTTCAAACACGATGCAGTGCCTTTGGGATGAAGCCAAAGTGCTACCACTTGCTTAATACAGCGTCGACTATATTAAGCAAGTAAATAGTAAAGTTGTGAAAAATAATTGCATTTGTAATCTGAATAAACACAAATATATGCTTCTATAAGTTATTCTGCGCTACAACTAAGTATAAATAATTTCTTTCAAAATGACGGTGAAAGTTGCCAAAACAAAACTTTCAATTCATGGAAAATCCTTCAATGAATCAAAGACGTGTTATGATATTTACGACACAACATAAAACAAAATTCACGCTGGATGGAAGATAATCTGTCTTGGTTACAGTCAAACAGAAGATCCCATGAAACGCAAGCCCCTTTCAGACATGCACGTTTTTCTGTTAATCTGACAGCATCTCGATGTGCTGGCTTCACGTCTGAAGTTGTGACGGCAATCTGGTCGGTCAGACTAATAAGATTTCACTTTTGTTACTGCACAAGTCCTCACGAACAGCAGCCACATTAATGAATAATGCACCGGTACTGGTCTAGAAACATCACAAAAAGCAAAAGACAAGAGTTTGCACACCTCTCTCATTCACTTTGCTCCAAAATTTCACACCTGTTCTCATAAAAATAAAACTTTACAGCAAAGGACACAACGGCTCAGATGCAACATTAATAAATGTACTGTCCAGTTCTGAAGCTCAGTGTGTTGCTCCCAGCTGTTTGTAGGAGTCTTTCTTCTGAGTTTATTAAATATCTGCAGCGTCAGACAGCAGCAAGATCCAAATGAGCATCTCCAGACAGACACACTCATGCTCATGGAACAACAGCAGTAACTTCAGTAACAATTAGTTTTGATGATCAATGATCCCTGACATGGAGGCGGGATCAATAGGAGTATATAATCTACAGTTAAATCATTTCTACAGAGCAGCTGTCTTTAAGTACATTTTTTTTTACATTTTACTGGTCATAAAGTTATAATATGATCACGCATGGATGGAAATTTCCTTGTTTACAAAAATCACAAATAACCGTGGCTGTTGATATTTGGACAGTTTGATAAGCTGCAATAAAGCTGCTCTATTATTATATTATATACAGTGCATTCTTGTTCTTACAAAGTGCAGTTTTATTTTATTCTTTTCCTTCGATGGTGCAATTTCAATTTAACATATTTCTAGTGCATTTTTTTGTAACGACTTTTTGCTTTTTTGTCGTATGCTGCTAACCCAAAGAGCTGCTAAACTAGATTTTGTTGTTGTTTAACAATGACAATAAAGATCTATTCGACTTTAGATGAACTTTTCTGTTGATTACTGCGCCTTGTGGATCACTTGTTGTACTGTCCAATCTGCTGTGAGAAACATTAAAAGTGACCTATGCCTGAATGACAGAATGCCGTCACGTCCACGGATCGATGAAGCAGCTTCGTAACACATCAAATGTCTGAAAAGGGCTCCACAGGAAACAAGATGAGTTAAAAAAATAAGAAACAGGCAGGTAGAGCTGCTGCCAGTTACACAGTGATGGAGAGAGGAGTGTAAAAAGCCGACATGCACACAGTGAGAAAGAAAAGCCACACAGAGCTGTGGGCTCACCTGCCCTGTGTGGCCTGAAGCTGCTCTGTGAGTTTAGCCAGGCTAGAGCTGGAAGAGGGAACAGAAAGAGAGGCCGGAGGAGGAGGAGGAGGAGGAGGAGGAGGAAGACATCTCAAACGTCAGGCAGAAATCAAAAAGTGCACATTAGAGTCCTTATGCCACAGAGGAGAATCATCTGCAGATATACTGTACAGTTAAAATGAATGACTCAGACGTTTAGTAGAAGGTCAGTTTAGTGCTGTTAGTTTAAGACAATGCACTGACGCTTGCATGAAAGTGAAAATGCACCGTACCAGTCAGAGGAGTGCTGCGCCTCAGAGCGATGTGGAACAACCTCCTCAGGAGCGCCGCTTGCCTGAAAAACATTCAGGCACAAATGAGGAAAGGGTTCTTGTTTCATATCATAACACCACTACCATCATTCACGAGCAGGAAAAATAACACCAGGTGGAGCTCGGTGGTTTGGTCCATTAACTATTAGTTATGAATGTCCTGCTCATAGCTACTGTTTACAGACAAACTAGTGTATTTGCAGACAGGAGCTGTAATAAACATCTTCCATAAACATGCCCAGTTTCTCCGTTATACTGAAAATGCCAGAAAAATGTACTATTTTGCTGAAAAAGCTAAGCTAAGGCTATCACTAAGAGGTTAACTGTCAGGGTTGTAGCTAAAGCTATTTGGACAACCTGTAGCATACAGTAACGCCTTTTCAGCAGAGACACAACCTGCAAAAACTGAACAAGAAACACAGTCCATCGCCACAAACAGGACATTGGCTGCTTTCACAGGAGCCGAGGCTACGCTAACGGCTGGCGGCTCAGTTAGGAGGCAGTCAGAGATTACCCTGAGTGTCCAACACTTTATACTGCTTAAAGACCTAAACCTTAGTGGGCAAGAAAAGTGAAATTCCCTGATATCACCACTGGTAAAAGATAACATTTAATGGGCTCCAAACTTGGGTTGTTTGTCTTTCCTTGATGACCAATAATTGGCATCTACCCTGAAAATCCCAAATCGGTCAAATCTTATTGTTTAGATCCCAAAAATCCCAAACAAATCCATGGCACTCTCTTTTTTTTCTAAGAACTTTAAAGCCTTTAGTATCCTTACATGGTCACGTTTAGCATTACAATTAAGCTATATAAACGAGTCAAACAGATCTCAAAGTGGTCCTTTTCTAGGGATGTTCCACGAATAGAAATCTTAAACTTTGACATGATGTTATGATCTACAAAGGGTGTAAACATATTAAAAACTACAGTAGAAGTCATGGATGTTGAATTAAAGACAAGCATAATATACAATAGTAATGGTCACAGCAAGGAAACCATTCCTCCAATATGTCAAAGCTGCAAAATTTTAGAATACAAGAAATACAGAATAAGGAGTCTTGCAGAGACCGGGTGTCACATTAGGTTTCCAGGTTAGCAGAGGGAGTTTCCTAGCAGTTATCAGTGCTCATGGCAGGTGTGTAAAGCAATAAGATTATCTTCAAGCTGTGGTGAACAAGGCTCTGATAAGGATGATGCTGTGTTTGGTTGTATTTTTTTGTTTTGGCCTTAGTGACACCTCAGCAGATTGTCTCCAGCGTTACCTGTGCCTGGGCCAGTTTGGCTCGGAGCTGGTCGATACAGCGACGCATTCGCTCTCTATCCACCTCTCCTTCATCCCTCTCCCGCTCCAGCTCTTCGTTCTTCCTCCTCAGCTCTCTCATCCCTTCTTCCATCTTCTCTTTGTGGCTCTTTAGCAGCTGCAGGAACTCGTTTGCACCTTCCACAGGCTGCAGAGAAAAGGAGCACAAAGCAGAAACAGCAAGGTTGTGAGAGTTTTGCATCAGGAGACGCAGAGGGATTCTGAAATCAAGTGTTAGGTATGAACTCTCTGAACCCAAAAAGTCGTCAGCAGCTTTAAAAGCCCTGTTTTCTTTGTTGTTGTTTTTTTTAAATCACTAAAACTACTTAATTTATCAGAAGAATCCAACAATCACTAAACTAACTATGAACAACCTTTGGCTTTGTCTGGAAAAAAACCCAAATCTAAGCATAAAATGTGAAACGTCATGCTTCAGTTAAAAAAATAAACAAATAAAAAATTACAGTTTTAACTGACTGGACTCGAAAAATGTGAGATTCTGCAGTGACCTGGTGCAACGGTGAAGCTGTTAGTGACTCAGCTGTGACTGACAGACAAGAAACTTGTCGGCTGAAGTGCAGGCTGTGTTTACACAAAGCAGACAGGAGGCAAGGATGGGAACAAACAGCTTATTTCATCAAAATAAC